CAAAAATGGCACGCAGTTTTTAATTATATTCGTGTTTCTAATCAAATGGTCGTAAAAGATTGTTGAGTGCGCACGGGTTCGTTATGAATTGAATCCACCAATTCGATGAAGGATCAATACAATTTATTATTATCACAAAGAATAAAAACAAAAACAAAAACAAATTAAATTCCCTCAGATATTCGTAAAATATCTCAATATCTCACAGTAGTTATCTTTTAAAATATTAAAACCGTTTATCAGAATTCAAAACAGAGAAACGTAAAGAAAGCTAATCCGCGAATTCGCTACATTAAACAACCGCATTTTTCTAAACAAACTGATAAAACAATTAACTAACTAACTGAGAGATTTTCATGCTGCTTATATAAGCTTTTTAAATGCATGAAAATGTTCTAGCAATTTCTCGAAATCAGAAAGAGATATTTATTTATTATATGTTATTATTTATTAAATGCTCTTGTATTTTTAATTTTCCTGCTTAGCTTTCTCTTAATATTCGTCACGCGATACCCTGCACGGAGAATAAAACAATTTAATTTATAATTCTACTAACATTAGCAATTTAAATACCAAATCCGTAACACTGCTCCTTTCTCAAGGACTGCATGTTCCGGGCAGTACAATGCCTGGACATGAAGCCAAACTTACAACTAAGGGATCAATGCAATAATAAACATTACATTACAATAACAAACAACATGACAATATGCGTAACAACTTACAAATCAATGCTATCAATACACATTAGAACAAAAAGGACCATGGTGTACACATTAAAATCTTAACTTCGTACTATGGCCATAGTAATGACTAATCTGTAGTAATGAACGATAAGGTTAGAGTTCGATGATACGATCCGAACCACAGTCATTCGCTTGTTACGACTGTGTGCGGACTGTCCCAAGGTGACGTATTTCCGACAGAGTCTTTCAGTCGATTGGATCCGCAATCAACCTGTATCTTCGTGAATGAAGTCCAGAAGCTCTTGTGTTGTATGGTCTTCACATCCTCCAAGTTGACCGCTATCGTGCAGAACGGCCTGGACTTCAAACAGGCTGGAATCCTGGATGTATTCCTGGGCGAGGGAGATTTGGAGTGCGACCAATCGGAGGTTCAGGCAGACGAAGTCTCGACAAATAGCATATGGGAGTGAATAGCTGGTATCTGTTTCTCTTCCACCTAGTATGATTGCGCGGCTGTTAGCCGTCTTTCAGACAGTGTCGCGTTTCCAGGTAAGGATCCTTTCTGAGGATGGATAGTCTGTCCTCAAATCTGAAAGCTGTTTGTTTTTTGAAATTAAGGAAAAAATTGTATTCTTAAAGTCTATCCGAATAATGCATGGATCGTAATATCCGCCACATATGCCGGTGATGGGTAGCGAACTTCAAATGTGTGGTTCACGCTTAACCTATCATTATTCGATCTCACACCAGACGCAGTTTGAAGGGTAACACAGGATGGCGTCAAATAAGTTATCTTTAAAATGTTAGCTTATCTCCCGAATGATCTCTCCAAAAGTTGTAATGGATGGAGATAAATCGACAACCTTGTTTCTCTTTGACAGAATCAACCTGGACCTATTTTGTCCCGACGAAAACTCTGTCTTCTATTTTCTATTTACAGAAGAAGTTTTCTTCAAATATCCACTTACTTTCAACGCGTTATTATGCCTTCCATAGCCTCAAAGTTTGTTTTCAATTATGCAGTAATGTTCGTTTCATTTCTTTTGACCTGCTTGAAAGGATTCCATTCTTCTTAACAATTTTTGGCCCGTTCTCTCCTCTTGACAGCTCCATCTCTCTTGACTGCTCATCTCCGCTTAACGGATCTTTCTCTCTTCTTTAAATGTAGCAAAAGTGCTCAGCGCCTTACTGCTCCTCACGCTCTTGTTTTGGATTCAATATCCCACTTCTGACACCAAAAATTGTTGCGTACCTACGGGTTCGTCATGAACTGAATAGACCAGTCCGATGAAGAATGAATAAAGTTTATTATTATCACAACAAATAAAAACACAAAAAATGTTTAAATTCCCTCAGATATTTGTAAAATATATCAATATCTCACAGTAGTTATCTTTTAAATTACTAAAAACATTCAACAGAACTAATTCAAAACAGAGAAACGTAAAGAAAGCTAATCCGCGAATTCGCTGCATTAAACAACCGCAGTTTTCTAAACAAACGGATAAAACAACTAACTAAATGATACTTTGATACTTTGGTGTTTTTCCTGGCATTCAGCAGGATGATTCGTTCCTGCTCTGCCAGTATCCTCAGAGAATCTCGACTGGGCCTGACATATGTTGAAATCCGAGGATGAGAGTTCTCCATACGAGTAAAATTGAAGAGGTGATACAAGAAGAAGCCCTTGATGCGTTGCAAAGCAACGCATGAGACTGGTCACGTGGTGGTGGCGAGTCCGAAACTTTTAACTTTCCAACTATTGTACAAAGTAAAACATACAACAGCAAAAGAAGAATCAAGTAAAATTTCACTATTTACATTATATACAATAGACAGTCAATTTTTTAAGAGCGAAAATAAATATTTGCGAATCTACAGGCATCTGGGGGCCAGGAGCTACCAGCCGATCAGCGGCAGTTGCGAAGTCCAGAGTTCAAACGACAGAAATATCATTTCGCACATGAATACTGGAAGAAACGTCCAAAATATAGAAAGCAACCACTCAAAATGTTTATAAAAATAGTTCTCCGAGTTGGTTACATCAGAAGTATTCCATAGAGCATAAAAACAACGGAAAGTATGAAAATACTTTTCTGCCGAGTCCAGGGGGTCAATCTACTATTAGCCCAGGCAGGAAAGGCTAAGTCAAAAATCGGCCGGATGGCCGAGAGAAAAAGTCTTTTCTTCAGAAGAAGAGAAAGTTTCTCACTTTTGAGCAGGGGGAACCCCTGCTCAAAAGTGAGCTCAAATTTTTTTTGATATATTCTAATTTTCATTACAGCGAAAATGTTTCCCTGAACGAATGCTTGATTTTGATCACATTTTCTGTATATTCTGAGATAGCTGAAAGATGATCCTGTATGCTTTTCCCAAAACCTGTGACATATGATCTTTCCATGTAAAGTTATGATTGAATGTGACTCCAAGATAATTTGCCTTGCTAATTCTTGGGACAAGGATGGTTGAAGAGTGTGGCCTGAGTCTTTATTTCCGCTCTTTTCCGATACTTCCTGTTGAGTAGAATCTTGTGTTTGGTGAGCTGTATTCTGGTTTTCCAGCGGCTACACCCTCAATAATTGGAATCATTTCTTGAAGTTTGACCAATGCATGGTCGGGGCAATGTGACTTGCAATCTAACTGAAAGGTTTTCATGTCGCTTATATAAGCTTTTTAAATGCACGATAATATTCTAGCAATTTGTCGAAATCAAAAAGAGATATTTATTTATTAATCGTTAAATGAGCTCTTGTATTTTTAATTTTCCGGCTTAGCTTTCTCTTAATATTCATGACGCGCTGCCCTGCCACGGGGAATAAAACAATTTAATTTATAATTCTACTAACATTAGCTATTTAAATACCAAATCCGTAACAATCTCAAGTTCCGTCCAATATTTCACCTATATTCAATTTTAGTCCATTAAATGTGGCAGAAAAGTTGATCATAATTGATCGGAAATCCATGCTGCGAACAAACAGACAAACACACAAACAGGCATTCTTCTTTATATGAATCTATTTTTCAGTAAAAACATATTTCAAAATAAAGCATTTTTATCTCCAACGCGAGACTTTTGCCAGTGTCTTGGGTTGGTTTCCCACGAATTTTTGGAATCGGGAATGATGTATTTAATGCTTGGCAATGCTATTTTTTCATTGTAAACTTAGAAATTTTTATTAACAAATTCTTTGTTTTGAAACACAGAATCAGCACCTTGTAAGAAAAAAAAAAAAAAAAAAAAAAAAAAAAAAAAAAAAAAAAACATTTTTATCTCCAGCGCTTGAGACTGCGTATCGAAACTTCTAAAGATATGCTCATTTTAAAATTATTTTTCGATATTGCTCTTGAACTGAATTTTATGATTTAAATGCGGAGAACATGATGTATAATAAATAAAGGTAACACAAAAAATGTTAAACGCCTCTTTGGACGTAATTAAAAATCTGAAACATTTCAGATTTTCTTTTCTTTATTTCTTTATTTGTTTATTTGTATGATTTCATTCTTAACATTCTAATAGATCAAAGAAAAAAAATAATTTTTTCACAGTTTTAAGTTTATTATGCCTCGATTTGCATCAGATTATCAACCTAAATGAAAACAAGTATTGATTATAATGATACTAGAGAGGAAAAAAAAAAGAAACAAAAACCATAATCGATCAGGATGATATTAAACAAAAAGAGAATATCGATTACTGATGGCAAAAAATAATAGGACTAACAGATTACATTAGACTGAGTGTAACTGGCATAGATATGTATCAAAAAGTAATCTTATAAAATGCTTGTTGCCTTATTATGAAAATTTGAAAATTTTGAAAGTTACACATAAAGAGCGTGATAGTAAATTGCAAACTCTTCAAAAATATGACGATCCTCGATCATATTCGATTGTTGCATTATAGTGCCATTATTAATATCATTTAAGTACACAAAAGTCTACATTTTGTTTTACATTATACATTTTTTTGATATATTCTAATTTTCATTACAGCGAAAATGTTTCCCTGAACGAATGCTTAATTTTGATCACATTTTCTGTATATTCTGAGATTATTTTAACTTGAGAAATACAAATTACATGATAGAGAATCTCTTACACAATAACATCTAATCTTTGAATGTATGTATTGAAAGCTCTTTGTTAGGAAAATACCATTTCCCAACATAAATTTTATTTATCCAGTTTTTCAAAGCTGTTAGTCGTAACTGAGATACACATGCTATAATTTTTACGTAAATTTCCCTAAATTTTTATTCAATTTATATAAAAATTGCACTCAGAATGAAATCAAAATTTAGAAATGAGTCACTTAACTTATTTTTTTATTATACGAAAGACAAAAACATCTTGATTCCATGGGTACATGGAAAAACATGTTAGACAATCTTACATTGGTGGATCTTACTTACATCGGTTCAGATTTTAATACCTGTTCTTTAGGCTGCAAAAACAACACTATAATGAATTTGAAAGCGCTTAAGAAGTAATATTTAAAATTTTAAAGCTATAATTTCTAGCTATTTAATTAATATATTTAGAATATCATATTTCTTTTAGTTTAATCATTAATTAACATTATTTCTTAGATATATTGTGCTTGCAAATATTTTTTTTCTCCTTTACTAAAAATTTTGATTCAGTTAGTTAATTTGTAAACTATTTCACATGTATAATTTAGATGTTTCTTAATGTTTGTCATCATGATGAACAAAGTAAAAATATATTATGCTTTGTTATTTCCCAGCAATCAAATATTGCACTGCTTTTCTTTCCTGAATCACATTTATGAAGTATTTAAAAAACTGTACATTTGTGTCATTTACTTCATACCATTAGTACAACATAACAGTAACTTTTAAAAAATTTTAATATTGTTTGTATATTTCAAAACATTATAAAAGTAATAGTAATAGATATTATTTTAATTACAGTAATAAGATAAGTATAACGGCAATAATAATAAACTAATTAGAACAAATGTAATATTTAATGTGACATTTATCTAAGAATGAAAGAAAACTGTCAATGAATGCTGGAAGACAATAAATAAACGAAAAGGTGTTACTGAAGTAGAGATAATATATAAAACAATCACAAAATAGTAGTTATTCATCCTGTTTTCAGTCAAAGATCGGCCCTCTGCTGATCTTTAATTGAAATATGTTATTAATATAAGCAGATTCTATAAAATTACATACGTTTCTTTTTCACAAATGACAAATGTGAAGAATGAATTTTAAGAAATAAAAACAATAAATAACTTTTATGAAGCTGGCCTATGTTTGTTTCTTGATGTGATGCATACTCCAAATAGAAAGCAAAGCACTTGTTCCAAAAGATATATGCCCGTCAGTTATTTCCTTCATTAATAAGAAATTATCTTCATCGGTAAGACTTCATGAAAATATAAATAGTAGTATGTAAGAAACGTTTAACTTTCTTATGTTCATTCTTGATGAAATAAAGTATCCATAACGACATAACACATTTTTTAAAAGTACCATAAATTAAACATAAATTAAAAAAAGTTTTACGGTGCCATAACTTGCATTTGTTAAAACTTGACTGCTGGGTAGATTATTTTTGTTCAAGCTCTTAAGTATCAACTAGTTGTTGATATAATTATATTATAGAAGGCCTTTTTAAATGCTTTACTAACACCTTATTTTCTTTGCTTTTAACCTGGCGTTTTTAATCACAATGAAACAGGTCACTGAATTGTTTGCTATTTACAGGAAAAATATTTGGAGTTCTTTCAAATTCTGTGCAGATTAAAACCTTTTTCTTGAATGAGTAAAATACAGTAAAGGCATATTAAACATATTCATTCAGCATGCAATACTCATACCAATATTGCGATGTGTTTTTATTTATTGTTCGCATCACATTGTTTGTAACAGTGTGCAGCAGTTATTGAAGTCAACTTCCTGACTTGTAGAAGAGGAAAAAGATCGCGTTAGTGGGAGAGATCTGCTTTGGGTAAAAAATCATTTAGCCTTTTTCTCAGGAGCAACTCCGCCTCCAATAGTTGCTAATTTTTCCGGCTGCATAACACTTTTAAGCCAGTTTGTCATATCATAATCTTCCAGTTCACCACCGTAATGTACGGGCAAGACTGCACGAGGGAAAAAATTAAAGAGCGTCTCGGAAGTAGAGTGAAAATACATCTGCAAAAGAAAAGTGAAATTTCATTTATGGCTTTGTTAACAGGCTAAGAATGCAAATGAATAAGTGCAAATAAATTAATACAGTAGCTTATGAATTGCAAAAGAGTATTCATATACTTAAGTCCTCCATTTCTGAAGCCCTGCACTGATCTTTGAGAGATCTCTTATTTTAAAACAGAGAGTATGCTTTTTTTATTTAAAAATTTAATTAAAGATTTATGGTTCCCCTCGAAACGCGTTGCTCGGCCTGATAAATCCGCCTCTGTATACGTTTAATACAGTTAGTTGCTAGATAAGAAATTCTTCATAAAATAAATTACATCTCCCATAATTTGCTTGACATAGTAATGATTTTTTTGAAATTTTAAAAGTTCTTAAAAAGAACACTTTTTAAGCTTCTTTTTTGCTTTATTTTATTTTGAAATTAAATTTTTGAGAAAATTACTCCAGACAACGTTTCGCAATGTTTAAGCACACCTATTATATGCTTATGTTTGGAAAAGTACAAACGACGAGGAAGAAGTGTGGCAACGCACACATTGCAACAGATGAAACTTTTCTAAATGATAATGTTTACTGTAAAATCTTAAAACGAGAAAAATTAGCTGGTCTCAATTTGAGGAAAAAGGAAAAATCAAGTTATAAAAGATAAAAGTCGTTACCCAGTTGGGCTTCAGAACGTCTTAGAAACTAGGAGCCTCGATGTTTTAGCAAAAAGTAAAGTTTTCCAGTTTATTTAAATTTGCAAGGTAGTAAGGGGATTAGAAAGTAAGAACTTAAAATAAAAACAAGAAAAAAATTACAAGATGTTTCTACATATTTACATTAAATTTCTTATTGTAATCATCCAACTATTACCTCTGATAATTATCATTTCAATTTTGATAAGAAATTAAAAAAATGTAGTTAATACCAACTTTCCTTAAAGAGAGAAATTTTGAATGAAGGTGCTTTATTCTCTAAGAAAATTTTGACCACGTTAAGTTATCTCTTCTTGGGAGTTATCGACATTGTTGCAAATTGTGTTGTTTCTAAGGAGTTGCGTATGTATTGTATTTACACTGTTGGCCATTAAAATTGTAACACCATGAAGGAAAGCTAATACAGAAAAGATATTTATTGTACCTAAACAGTATAGCATAAAGATAAAATGTTTAAATTTGTAAGCAGTTTGGTGGTTTACAGGGGTGCAAAATTAATAGAAGTAGCTGGCCTTTACCCGCTTATGCATGGAGGCGAACCGATTTTGGATGACATAAACAGGCAACTCATTCCATGCTGTTTCATGTCTGTGCCACACTTCATCAACTATATTAGCTGAAGAGGAGTGGCGGCTCAGTCTCTCAGCAACCCATGGTCAGATGTTTTCAATGGTTGACAGATATGGCGCTCTGAATCATAAAATTGACAAGAAACACTAAATCAATATGTTAATTATGCGGAGCACACACCTCGGACATCTCAGCTCAAGACTAACTTAGATAATTAGGACTATGGCAACAGCCTGCCTATATTCTTTAAAAATTTTGCTTTTGAAATTAATGTATAGATCAAGGACTCGAAAGACAAGATTGATCCAATAAAATCTTCAAATGCAGTGTGTTTTTCCTACACTCATTAATTGTATATTTGAATTACAAGTTTGTGATAAGTAGGTTCAAGAAGGGAAGGTCAACTTATGTTATCAAACTTAAGTTTGTGAATGATATTATTCTTGGTATGGCATTTTGCCTTCTTAATTTTAATAAATGTTCAACTTTTCATGTGAATATTAGGAAACAGATATCTGTATTTATGTTGTAAGGATTATGTTAACTTTTTTAACAGTTACATTTTGAGTTGAAACTTCTTTCCTGTCAAATTCTTAACTTAAACTTATTACTTCCGGCCAGAACATAGTTTTGGAATCACGTCTGAATACATAATGAGGAAGAGCGGTATTTAACTGCGAATTTCTACTTGCTGAGTTAGAGACAATCAGAGTTTCTGATTAGGGCGTGTCCGCCTTTTTGGCTACTCTCTCTCAAAGTGGTTATCGCGCTCGGCCTTACTTAGGCCCTTGATAGCTTAGCAGTCATCTCGTGTTTAAGGGGCCAACTCCATTAAAACTTTGATAGCTTCGGCCATATCTCTTTAGATTAGTTTTAGTTTACTTTTTATTCTCTTAAGTTCAAGCCCAAGTGTCGGCTTTTATTGTACACTCCAAGACGGAATTCTGTTAAATCTTATTTCAATAATAAAGGGTTATTTACCCTTGCATCCTGTTGTTTCTTTTCACACGAACTTAAGCGATTATTCGCTCAGTAGTTCTTAAGATTCTTCACGTTCAACTGTAAATTAGCATTTACATTGTGACGAACTCTACATTGTAATCAGCTGTGTGTTTGAATCTCTCCCTAGTGATCAGCATTAAGTGCTTAAGATGTCAGTTTTACTGAGTGTGGTGCTGTACTTTACTGTTTATGTTCACTTTAACGTACTCAAGTCTGTATTTATTACTTCTATGCCTGTACTATGAAGGTTAATTTGTACTTGCTAGGATTTAGACTACATAACATTACTTAATGATCAGTTTTATGTATTATGTTCATCAGTTTTAGTTTTCATGTATTACGTATGCATTTTTAAGTGTTATGTGTGCAGGCATTAGGGATCAGCTTTCTGTATTTCTGTACTCAGTATCATGTTAGTTTTTCACTTTAATATTCAGTTTTGTACTAATGTATGTATTATCCTGTCTGCAAGTACTACGAAAGAAAATGTAGATGCATGGTTCAATTTGTAAAACAACTTCAGTTTAAGTTTGCGCAAAGAACTAAATTATGCAGGAATTTGTTACCTTAGTGATAACAGGTACACAATCTTTTAAATGTTTTTATATAAGAGTCGGACAATGAAGAATAATCTGCGTTAAATTACGTTTGAGCGCTAGTATTTTTTTAAAATCTTTTTAAAATTTAATTTAATTTAATTAATTAATTTATTTTGGAGTTTACTATGTGCAATAATAGCCGCCCAGACGGTATAGTGGTTAGGGAAGCCTGACTGCGATACCGAAGGGCCTGGGTTCGAATTACGGAGAAGGTATGGTTGTAACTGTCCATCCCTTCATAGGAGGCGATAGTGGCCCACCCATTAGGTGCCTCCATAATAAAGACCACCACATCTGGCCTTGTATAGATTAATGGACTGTGTTACACTCTAACTGTTCACAATCTGACATTGGAAAAAAAAAACTATGTGCAATAATTAAATAGGTTACGTCTTTCCTTCATGCAAGACCGACGATTTTACAAAAGCTCAATAAATATATGACAGTTATGTCGGGATTAACATCCGCATGTAGACATTTGGAAAGTCCAGAAAATCCACGGCGTTTTAATGTTTCAGGCAGAGTCTACCTTTCTTTACTTTATCTAACACAAGTTTCTGTCTATTCTAACAGCGATTCTTAAAAGTCTTTTGATTGCTTAATTTTAAGTAGTTCCTAACAGAATACTCTTTCGCCGAACAACAACATCCAAGCTTACATGTAGACTTTTATGAGACTCTTAGTCATCTATTCGGCTGCATTCCCGGAGCAGAGAGCAGATGGTTTCTTCCAGGAAGATAACACACTGTGAGGCTAAGGCCGGGGTCAGTGGTCTTTCTTGGTGGCGCTCACTCACTCACCCTGTGTATCGAGGAAGATCAGAATATGACGTGGATCATGTGGTCTTGGATTATCTTATTAGAACATGCCGTTTGGAGGCCTCGATGATAGGGCGCAACTACTGGACATAAGATGTCAGAAATGTAACCATCTGCATTCACATTTCCGTCGATCCGAACTAGGGATATGCGTGTCGTGCATCCAATGGTTGCATTTGGCGCACCAGAGTCGCCATTTCTCTCTCTATATATACATAGCATTTTCAGTGCGAACGCTATCTTTTGAGATGTGGGTTTCCCGAGCAGTTTGTCGAAGAGATTTTCGTGGTGATAGAAGGAGTGTTTCCTGCACCTGCTCTTTTTTCCAGGGCTCGTGGATGTGTGTGGTAGTCCAGAAGGTTTCTTGTTAACGTTCTGGATGGTTTCATTTGTTCCAAACCTGTCTCTGATGCGAGCAATGGTCCGACTTGTTGGTGGCGGTTTTGTGAATTCCCTTCTGTACCGTCTTTACACTTCAATGGCGTTTTCTGTCTTCACATAACATTTCAGGACAAACTCCGTCTTTTCCAAGCTAAGTTCATTTCCTGCTATGCTGTGATAAATTAATTACACTTGCAATTCATAAAAGGCAGCATGTTAGCGACAGTTAAAGCGTGAGTAAATTTTTTAGACACCCTGTATATATATATATAAGATTGACAGAAGACTTAGAAAACGAACATAACGCTATCTATTTGCCCAAAGTGAAATTACGTTTTTACCAACCAAATAATATTAGAAAGAATACTGTAAGAATAATATAAGGAAGGATTAAGCATTTCATGTAGATTTCCATTCTGATTCCACAAGAAAATGCTCTTACTAATGCATGTGCCTAGATTATTCCTTTAATTTAGTTTGCTGTGCAATGCAATAGATGGAATTGGAAAATACACAAAAATATAAGTATCAGAGGTATGATAAAGTTAATAAAGACCTACTCTTTTCTTCAATTTGGCGGACAGAAAAGGCTTGATCAAGAGCCAGGCGGCTTTGAAGGTCGGTGACTGATTGACAATATGAATTTGTTTAAAACGCCCAGGAGAACATTCCTGCGATAAATAAATAAAAGCTATAGGAAGATGATGATCATTTAAGGTAAATATTTAAGACACTAAACAAACATAAAATTAAAAAAAAAATATTGGTCAAGTTTATAGCATTTCTTTTTCAAAATCAGTTTCAGAATTGCAAATTTTACGATTATAATACTTTTATATTAAATTATCCATAAAAAGTTCCATGTATAGATCGTTCGGTTTTGTTATGAGAAATAGATTGTTTGTACTAAAGCTTTATTTTCACGTATAAACGTACATTCGTATTTGTTACTTGTATGTTTAAAGTCCCATTATTTTCTTATTTCGAGGATTATCATATTTTACATTTTAATCAAGAGGTGTATTTATTATTAAATATATATTATATTGTTTTAATTAATGACTTTAATTTCTTTTTGGACATAAATATATCTGTTTTATGCCAAGACATGAAACAGACTGTACTTCGGTAATGCTTGTTACAAATTAAAATTTGTAAAAACAGTTTAAGGTTTGAATATTAGCGAAAAAAAAAAAAAAAGATAAAAGGAAAAGTCTGAAAAGGTTCAGAAATGAACAGCAGCCCCCTAAGGGATTGTTAAGGTTTCATTACGCTCTCGCTGAGCTCGCAGTCTACTAAGTCTGCTTTTGCGCTCACTCCTGCTGACCCATTTCTTTTGTCTTAGCTTTATTCTAAAGCACCGTATACTTAGCTCTAAGCCCTTCAGCAAAATTATAAAAATTTTAAAAGCAGTATAGCAGCATATGTTTAATATTCCCGATGCAATGTTTGGCATATATGTTACTATTTTTTCAATCTTTTCGCAGTTCATCATATCAGTGCTATTTTCTTAGTAAAATGGTTTGCAAAACTTTTTTTCTCTTCTTTTTATTAACTTTTTGTGTGTTAACTTTATATATTAGATATTATGTGCACTTAGCATAAAATTTAGTTCAGCTCCAAAATCACAAAATATTTAAAAACAGCATATCTTTAAAATTTCCGATGGACAGTCTCACTTGCTGGAGATCACAATGTTTTAATACGTACAATGTTGTAACTGATTGCTTTCAAATCGTTTAGTATGTAAATCAAAAATTCGTTCATTAAAGTTTCACAAAATACGAAATAAAAAATTCGGGCTTCTAGGAGCACATGTTCGAATGGAGGATATTTTATTCAAAATTAGATGGTAATACGTACCTTTGGGTTTTCAGAATGTATGGAACATACGCACATAATGCAGATTCTTCATTATTTAATTTCTTTAAAAATAATACAGTGCTTTAATATTTGGTGGCAACAGTTTGAAAAAGCGATACAACCGTTTATAATCGACTAAGCAAAACCTCAAACCAACGTCTATTCGCGCTATCGCGTTTTTGGGCTAATAATACCACAGATATGCTTTTTAATAAGCAATACCTTCAATACAAAGGTATGGTTCTTTCTGAGGACAGGTATCAGATAAAATTGGAAACTGAATATTCAACTGAGAATATATCGTACGAAATATATCTGTCAAGGATTTAATTTAAATCTTCAAGAATTTTGAAAGAGTTTTCTTGAAATTAAGAAATTTAAATTTTAAAGAAGTACTAAATTAAGTTTACAATATACCTGAAATTATATCAGTTTTCATATTTTATGATTGCTGCTTTAAGTAGTAAGTTTTTGATATGAATTTTTATATCCATGATAATTTTTTTTAAATTTATTTATCGCTACGTTTAGAATTTAATTGAAATGATTTTTGAGTTGAAGCACGCGGAAAAAAAATGAAGAAAATGAGACCAAATATGCTACTTCATAGATCGTCTATTCTTTCCTGAATCAAGAAGATATTCAGGTAGTAGGAAATAAACTGTATTTATGCAGTACAATTACAAATGGATTTTCATGAATTCGTGTATTAGATTCAGTTGTATCTGAATAAGTATTAAGATATTATCACCATCAAGAGAAAGGAAGAATTCGATTAAATGAATACGAAGAATATTTGATGCACATGATAACGGTTTTTGCATAATACAGGAACTCCGTTCATATCTTTGGGAAAAGAATTATGTGCTTTATTACCATTATATTGATCGTTATGACATATATTTACGTACAAATAAAGGGTTATCTTGCTCCATATTATTGGTCAAAATTTGGAATACATTTTGAAATTTTCGTGCTTTGTAAATCTGCATGTTTAAAAAGTGTTACTTTTTTGATAAAGACAAATATATGCATTGGATGTGCTTCTACATGAACTGAAAATGAATTTATAGCAAGATATGATATGGGAAACAATTTATAGATACCCGCAAAATGAAAAGGTGTATGTTTATTTAATTAAATATAAGTGCCTTTTGCGTAAAATAAAAAGAAACAGATTTAATTTTCTAAACTGAAAGCGAATACATTGCTGTTGCCAGAGCCAAGATTGTGAATAACTTCAATTCAGTTGTAATCAATTTCTTAATTTTACTTTATATACTATGTTTGGTTAAGGAAATGTATACCTTTATTGATACTGTAAATATCGGAGTATTAAGTGTCGTATCAAATGTTACATTTAGTTGTTTTCTATTTTATATAAAGTGTTTGAATTTGATGACGTATACAACGGCATGTAAATATAAAATTTTCAAAATGTTTCCAAAATTGTGGCCTCTATTAGGAATAATATTTAAATGCAGCAGATATAATATCTTTATTTTTTTAGTTCTTTTCTCTTTTAAAATTAAAAGAAGACTTGCCATAAAAAGCTAATTATTCAATGAAATACAAATCATATTCTGATGCCTTTTACCTGCGTCCCATGGTACAGCAAGTACATGTTTTGTGGGGTGCAGTGTCTAATATGTTTGATTGGGTTGCTTTTGACATCAAAAATAGCTTTGAATCCGTTCACCTGCGTCATGGGATCACGGAGTGATTGCAATAACAGAACTACTACCATTCGTTTTACCTCTTCTGGCGGAAAATCTTCGGGATCCCAGTTATCTGAAGAACAAAAAATAGATGCAAGTCAGCTAAAGGAAAACAGCTACAGAAAATTATAATACCAAAAATTGTGAATGACGACTATTTTTATTAGAAGATATTGTAATCATTTATATGATAGTTATAACTCTAGTACATGCAGTTTTTTTAACAAAGCTAGAAGCACTTAAGATGGTCTTTAATAGCACTGCAGAAGAAAATATCGTCGTACTGACTATAACCGTACACCCATCCTCAGCTCCCTTTCAGCTGAACGTCATCTAAAACATCCTAACTCTAAAAGTGAAATACATCTTTTTATCAGAATGCTTTCAAGAACAAACATTTCAGAAAGCGAAGCATAAACATAACGAACTTCCTGTCCACAAGACGCATGGAGCTATGCAGCAAAGCAACACTTGATGGAGACTCTTGAAGGGCCTCACCAAGGCCCAGTGAAGGGTGGCTAATTAGTGTGGCTGAACAATACCGACATTGCCTATGGTTAAACAATGGATGTCCACCACACTTCACCCTATCTGTATTCATATCCATAATATTAACTGCAATCAGATACATTTACTTAAGTTAACCCATATTGGACCATTGTCCTAAATATAGGACAGACCAATTAAATTTCATTATTTAATGAAAAGAAAGGTAAACAAATAAGATAGACTTTCGCATAACTCCCTTGAAATAGATGTAACTGTCATATTCAGGCTAAAAAATGGACTGTCATAATTTATTTCATTTAAAAAAGGGCTTTAAAAATAACACTTTAAAATTATTTATTTTTGAACCGTTATTTAGGATTTAAATCTATATTTTCCTAAACAGATGTATACATTTCTGCTAGTAGATTTATAGTCTTATTTATAGAAATAAAAATATCTGTGAAAAAATTATCATTTTGGGGTATTTTATTTGCATTTTATATATGTCCTGTAAATAGGCCCGATCCCCAACATTTTTTTTGCTGGTCACTCCTCCAATTCATGGATCACATTCCTTCAAACCAATTTTGAACAATAGCTATTCATACAACGACATTAGCGTGACATATTGAAGGGTTCGGGAATAGATTATTCTGCAGTTTTCTTTGGGTATCTTTTGTATTAAATTAAAAAATAAATTAAAATATCACAAAAATAAAGTGTCACATAACCCCTAAATAGGTTTTTCTGGGGTTCATCTTTGTGATGTTTCTTGGCAATAGTAGCAGCAGGTGTACTTTTGTTTAACACAGATACACGTTCTAAATATAAATTAGCCTGCAAAGTTTATTTTTGACCTTGGATCCTGATGGTTTCCCTGTGAGCATTCAAATCTGTAACGTCAGATGAAACTTTTCTATAGAGCTGCACATGCGTTTTTTTTTGGGGGGGGGTGGAGAAACAATCCAGAATATTTTTTCTAAAGTAGATCAGTTACTTGCCTGTTTATTACTTGAGTGGAAATTTCAACTGTCTTTGAAAGATCAATATTGTTAAAATGGCAAGAAAGTTTCCAACAGCTCTAGAGGCTCTTGGATATATGAATGAATATATGAATTCTCTGTTTGAAGAAGAAACTGAATAAAGCAATATAAAGCAATTCCAGTTACAAGATAAATGCTTTTCTGTTCAGAGACTGTTATTTTGCTCTATAAAAATCATACCTTTTTAGAAACTAATGCTGAATATAAGCTGCTGGCAAGGTATAATTCTATATTTTTTTGAATTATTTTGCATCAGATTCTTTTTTTATTATAATAATAACCTTATTTAATCCAAACTAGCGTATTATTCCAATTTACTTTATAATGCATCAATACTAACTACTGAAAGGCTAAGAATGAGTCCGTTACTAGCATGTCGTGCGTAAGCTTTTTAGATGACATCACTTAACGCCAGTCGTCAGTATCCTATAAGTAAGTTTCAAATCTATTATTAGCCAATATATTAATAAAATGTAACAAATTAGCAAAAATATGTAATAAAAACATATAAAAGCCGATATATAATAAAATAAGCAGCAGTATTTTTACTCCTGAAGAATAGGTAACGGCATCTGATTGCCTTCGAAATCGTAAATTTTTATTCAAGGTTTGTTCAAGGACAAATAAAGTTGTGTTTTTTGCCTAATTTAAAATTTTACATAGACAAACCTCTTTTCTATGTGATTGCAGTTAATGATATTCACTTGTTAAGCTGTGAATTTAAAGATGCATATGTTGCCCTCCCCAGAATTTTTAACTACTGCTGTGAACTACTTAATGTAATTCACTTGCATAGTCATGGCATGATAACTAAGTATTGCACTTATATATATCATATAAATTATATATTCTAGTTTCATTACTAAATCATGTACTAAACATTAAACACATTGTACGGTTTGCCCTATTTTGCATAACAAATTTATTTTAAGTGTGATACCTTTCCTGAACTCCTCAATCTTCCCTCGCATTTTCTCGCCAGGATATAAATTTAAAGTTAAGTAGTGAAGTGAGTATTTAAACGGGTGAATCTCTGAGTTTATTCAGGATCAAATACAAAATGTTGTAGAAGAAGCAAGTGATACTATAGACAAAAATGAATTTCTTTTCCAACTACCCAGTAATATTCGACAACTGATGAGACAGCTAAGCTGCGTAGGAAATGTTTATCATCTCACGTGGGATCCGCCGCTAGCGATAAATTGCCTCAACAAGGATATCAAAAACGCCGTAAAACTGCATAAGGAATAGTGTGTGTGTGTGAGTGAGTGATTATGACAAAGCCTCGAGGGCTATCTGCCTAAGGCAGATAGCCCTCGGCAAGGGCAGATAGCCCTGCCTAAGGGCAAATAGTGGAGGACGTTCTAAGGAAAACTGGCTCATATACACGTTACACATGGGGAAAACCACGAAAACGCCCATGCAGCCAGCCTGTTCGCGGGATTCGAACCTCGGACCGAACTACCAGTGTTCAGCGACTTTACCGCTCGGCCGCTGGTGGGCCGCATAAGGAAGAGATGTGGGGCGAAAAAATTTCACACTCAGCATTCAAGATGGTTCTCTTTGCACTTTGGACTTAATTAAAAACTTTAAATTAAATTACCTCTCAAATCGCCCGCTCTATCCACAATGGAAAAGTGGCTACTTCAAATAAGGATAAAGCAGATATGTTTGCTCCACACTTAGAAACACAATTTACACCAAATAAATGGCCAGTTAATAGAGACTTTGAACTTTTCATGTTACTACGTGTACGTTACTGGCTTCTTCTGCTAAAAATATTCCAAAATTCGCCACTCCTGCTAAAGTTGCACAAATAATTAAAAAACTAAAGACGCGTAAAGCGCCGGGAAACGATGGAATAACAAACATTGCAATCAATAAACTGCCTACTAATATTGTTTGTAAATTGACAAGCATTTTAAATGCATTTATGTTTCATTCCTACTTTCTAAAGACATCGAAAAGTGCTAAAATGATTCTAATCCCAAAGCCTGGTAAAGATCACACGAAACTTGCTGGTTATTGTCCGATCAGTTTATTACTGGTGTTTGGAAAAATTTATGAAAGGATATTACTTTCTCGTATGCAACCTTATCTTACGTCGTTACCACCAGAGCAATTTGGATTTCGAGCCAAACTTTAGACTACTGAACAACTAGTGAGAATTACAGAGTTTGAAGGCTCTGCGCTCCAGTGTTGCTTTCCTCATGCTAGATGTGGCGCAAGCTTTCGACTGCGTCTGGCATGAGGAACTTATTTCTAATATCATCTGCTGTCATTTTGACAAAGAACTGCTTCTTATGATTCAGTCGTTCATCATTAACAGAACATCAATGTTTGTGTTAATCATGCAAACTCCTCCAAAGATTTATTTTAAGCGGTATTCCACAAAGCTGGAACCTAGGACCACTTTTGTATCTATTTAATGCCGCAGATTTCCCACAAATTCAGCAAAATAATTCTACTTTAGCCTCCTATGCGGATGACACTGCCTTAGCGGTGACATCCGCAAATATGAACCATGCTGTCGGCAAACTTCAAAACTTCATTCCCCGCATTGAAAAATGGTGTACACCGTGGAAAGTTCAAATCAACGCGTCCAAATCACAAACTTACGTTTTTCAATGAACCTATTTCTGTCGTCTCTCAAGCAAAATATCTTGGAATATTGTTTAACGATTGTCTCACATGGACTCACCACGTTAATAACATACGAGACAGGGCTCTAAAAATCATTAAATGTCCTTATCCCATCAATGGAAAATATTCTTCACTAGGTTTGGGTAAGAAGAGACTCATTTAGCTTTCTGTTATTAGGCCAATAATGACCTATGCTTCATTGTCTGGACAACAATTACTAACCAGGAGCTTAATAAATTACAAGTGGTGCACAACAGATACCTGCGTATCATCACATATGCCCACTTTTCTGTAAGGAACAGGTGTCTTCATGATGACTTTAAAGTAGAACCCCTTGCGAAGTTCTTACACAAGATTAATAATCAATTCTATCAGGACGCATAAGTTTGTAACATTATGAATCATTTCAATCTTTACAGCTATGGAATTCCGCAAGAAAATCGGCACTTGCGTCTTTATACAGCTTTTATATTAAACGAAAACCGACCTACATAGGATTTAAAATTGTTATTACATCTCCATATTCTATAAGCATTCTAAATCTTTTCCCCCAATTTTTGTAGGACTTTTTGCTATTTTAACATAGCATATACTTGTAAATATTATGTAAAGAGAGGTCTATTTTCTAGGGAAACTATGTATTTTATATTTTATGTACTGTTTAATTCTGTAAAATGTGTTTTCACATCCCTCACGTGACAAAGAAGTCACTAACTTTCATCCTGTTCTCTGAACCCACTCAAACATTTTTGTACTTGCATCTATCCTTGAAGCACCTGTGTTACAATAGCCGGTAAACAGCTTGCATGCTTGGCAAGCTAGACGCGGCGATAGGGCAACTGGAATTGGAGTTTATTAAGAGTGTGATTTCGCTAGCCAGCGCACGTTTCGTTGTTGTCTCTCTGTTACGCTAGTAAGCCTCTTGGCCATTTCGGATTATCGTCACGCCTGTTAGATTTTGAGTCAACCTGTTAGGCGTAACTTAAGCTGCTAATCCAGCACTGTTTTATTTTAGATTTTGATTTGAATTATAGTCTACGTTTCAGTTTCACCACAAGTTGACGGTGCCATTGTAAAGCAAAAAAACTGTGCCTTTCTTTTAATTACCTGATTTCAATAAAAGGTTATTTTCACCCTTCTTCTGTGCTGGTAATTTATTCACACCTGTGCGAGAATTCGCCAGGTTCATTATAGGATCTAATTTAATTTATGTGGAATAGCAAACACAGATCTTACATCATAATACTTACAACTCTATTTGTCTTAGTAATATGCGCATTTTTGCAAAGTAAAAATTATCACATATTAAATTAGAAGTTTCACCTAGTTGGATTAGAAAAATAGCACATCCATCTTGGCATCGATATGGTAAAAGAGTGACAATTTTGTTTCTCATCGACTTCACAGTTTGCTCGAAACGGTAGTTTGTGAATAAAGCAGGGTTTCTTTTCCTGAGACTGACGAAAGACTTCAGTTGTGAAAACGCCCGAGCAACATTGAATTTGCGGCATCTCAGGTACTGGAGTAGAAAATCGTCATCGAAGTTCAAATTGGCAAGAATCTTGTCGTCTATTAAAGACAAAAAAATGGAACTTAATTCATTAAAAATGCATACAAATTTTATTATTGTTCATAACAATTTGAAATACTGTGCAGAATTAAAATTAATTTCTGGTATTTGCGTGCGAAAAGTTTTATTCAAGAAAAGAAGAATAAATGTTGAAATAATTTAATATTCATATCAAATTATATAACACAGTAAAAATTAACCAAAACAATAAGAAATGCACTTTATCATACAAATATTTATAGATGCAAAGTTCTCAAAAATTTTTACACAAAATATGTGGTAATTCAAGTGTGAAGATACACTGTAGACGCTGTAAAATTAATTCAATTTTTGAATTGCATATTCACAACGATATCACTGATGATTTTTGTATATCTAAACTTCTGTTTAGAACTAGTGCCCTTCTTGTTATTATAAGAAATCAGCATTGAATGTAGTTTGAATTTTACATTTCGAATGGCTACCATTCTACTATTAATAAAATTAAAATAAAATGCAAAGGAAAGTAAGTCATATTTTTTTAAATTAATTACAAATTCTATTGTCTCTCATATCCTGAAAATTAATTTCATAATGCATGCATGAGAAACGATGAGTAATATAGGCAAATATGCTAAATAAATTTAGCAAGTTTCCCTATATTTTTTCCTAATAAATAATAGCGTCTATATCTCTTTGAGAGCTACCTAACTTCTTTGTTTCAAAAACAACCGTTTTATAATGATTTTGTTGCGGCGAAAGTACGTAAGTTTAGGCTTCCAAAATTTGCAAAGAAATTAATTTGGTGCAGAATATTGAAAATGATTTATTTATTATGCAATCGAAGGCTTTTTGCACTAAAAGTCTATCTGACTACAGTAGGATGAGGTTTTGGTTTTGGAATGCTTTATTAAATGTTTGCTCCACAGAAAAGTAATTTGCATTTGTAATTATCTCATAAGGAGAATTAAAAAATCTTCATACAGCTAGCTTTTCAACCATTCGAAATTGAGCTATAAGTGAACTATCAGTGTACTACTATTTTAAAAACTTGATCGTTCATAATTCTTTAAAAAGAGAATGCTTCGTCTGAAAACTAATAATGACACCTAAATGGTAAACCCTTTCTTTTACTAATGGTGGAATATCCCAAACTCACAATTATAAAATTATTTACTCATGGCTTTTAACGAGCAGTTTTCACAGTCTCTCTCGTAGGCCGCCAACGGCAACTCACACCAAAAGTTACGTACCTGCATTGCAGAGGCGCAGGCGTGAACGTACCGCCCGATGTTACGGTTAACAACGGGTTAACCTTCAAACAATCGTAATTAATATATATGTATATATATATATATATATATATGAAAAATACCAACACGAAAATCAACACGAATTTCAATTGCATAGCAATATTATATGCGGAGCATATTCAGTACTGAAATAACAATAAAGACAATACTCCTTTTTGTAGTGGTAAGATACATAATTTTGTAATGGTCATTTGAAAGTACCAGTCTAAATTTTTACATTACATAAACGAACGTTTCCATCTTCACCATAAAACATTTTTAATATTCTACCATCTGACTATTCACAATAAGGCAAATTATCCGTAATTATGACCATGTAGCAATTATTTATTTATTCCTTAAGCTTTGGCATAGGTCGATTTTGTAAATGACTTAAATAATTAAAGCCCAAATCCCTGCTCAACAGTTGACGATGTTCCTCATTACTGTCCCGTGTAGGATTGTTATTCTTTGAGGCTTTAAAGCCCCAATATTGTCCCTCTATCAAGCGTAACTCTGTTGCTATTTGCATCGTTTTCTTTTTTAGTTTTCTCAAGTGGTTTATGTTTCGAATTAATCGTCCAGATATCAATGCTTAGCATTAGATAGATTAGCTTAGGTCTAGCTGATCGTCGTCATCTTAGCCTTAAAGGCCATAGTCCTTTTTTGACGGACTATGGCCTTTAAGGCTGGATGCCATTAATTCCATTCTATTCTAGCTTTAGTTGCCCTCTCGTGTATATTAAACCTTAAACTTCCCATTAGCATTTTTTTTTTTTTTTTTTTTTGTAGAAGGGGGTAAAGAGATGAGTTCAAGAGAATGCTAAGCTATGTAGTGATTCAAAACTGTTATTCACTTTTTTTGTTTACAATTACTTTTAATACTATAGCATCTTTTTCTGGTTTCTTGTCTTACCTCACAAGCAACTCCGACTAGACGACTTCTTCATGTCGTAGAATAAAAATATGGAAATTTGAGTCGCAAAATCAAAATACGGAAAACAAATCTGTTAGCGCAATACCATATATAAATCTAATGTATACCCTAAGTAGAACTTTCAAGTACATGAAAAACGCAAATTAAATTTCGTCAACCGCTCCAATAAAAAAGGAGATATGGAATTGTGCCCCCTTTTATTTTATTTTATTTATTTATTTATTGCAGAATGCACATTTGTTTAAAGTATAATAATATATTTTGTGCTGTTATATTGTTATGTAAATGCAAAATTTTCCGTTCATTTTGAGAAACTGTGGGGCTTTAAAAAATATAACTTACAACCTTAGGATATTTCTGAATATTTTTACGGCAAGGAAAATGTAAATTTTGAAATGGTTGAGAGAATAACAATAATCAGCATTATATGATTAATTAATAGTTTTCTAGACTATAACTAGGCATAATATCCCTATTTAAGGAGAAATTTTAAAATGCGAATTGTCGGTCTTATTTATGATGTGTTAAATATAGTAGCAGAGTAAATTTAAGTTCTTAAGATATTAAAAATGATTTCTTCAAAAAACTGCTCTACGACTTTCTGCAACTTCGACGTGAACCGCAGAAGCTGCTCAGAATATTACTTCATGAAGTAAAGAAACTAAATCGTTTCTCAGAATGTTTGATATGAGACCTTTAATGCCACTGAGAAGTCAAATTTCACAACCTGATATTGTTGATAAATTTCGTAATCTTTTCGTTATTTCAAATTTTAAAGTTGTTTTGTTTATCTTATATCTGTTTTCATAATTCCTTTCGTGAAAAATACTCTACTTGAGCTCTTGCCAGTTTAGATTACCGTATAAAGTTGGAAAAAAGTTTGTAAAATTTCATAATATTTAGCATTACATCATCTATTTAAAAAAAAAGCGGAAATCATATTGCACTCATAGTTTTAAATGAATATTTTATATCAGCAGAGATAGGCTTCACGAAATGCTTATTGAAAAAAAATTTTTGAAATCAAACATACAATTATTCTTTATTACATATAAGATTTGAAACATGCAACCTGACCTATCTTCCTTTAAATAAAATAATGTTTCCTATGCTATCCCTTTGTTGCTCAATGTTCCACTACATGGAACACCCAACTTGAATCGCTTCTGAAACCTTTAAATTGAACCATAAATGAATAAAAATGCCTTTATAATATACTTCGAACTTCTCTTTTTAAATAGTCGATGGCAGCATATCACAAAGAGACCCAGAATTTTCATTTATGAGTGTTATTAAATCCACTATTTTCGTAATTTTCTTATTTTTGGTGATATAAAATAATTTGTTTGAAAAACAATTTCGTGTTAATTTTGATGGTTGTACTCTATATTATTTGTTATATATTGTTTTACATTTTTCATACAAAAAGAATGCGCAGAATCATTGAATAAAACGGGGTGTTCCATTAGCGGGAACAGCGCCTTTAGCAATCTCATGCTACTACGCATCACAATATCTGTCTTAGGAGAAAACATCTGTTGAATATGTTTTCTATTTACGTTGTTTTGGGGAAATGAATTCAAACAAAGCAGTCTTGAGGGATGAGGTGTGGTTTGTGCTATGAAAGCCCTAATAGGGTCATCTTGAAATTTTTGTGAGCAATTTTCAGGTGGGATTTTTATCAGTAGCTCGAGTCATCTTTACTTGGGCTGCGCGAATTTTTGCTGTCGCTTTTAGTCTCATTCCCGTTATTTGAATAATTGGTGAGATATTTTTGTGTAGTTATATGTAGCGGATTTTTCTTTACTGTTATTATGTTAGTATTTTAATTGTAGTAATTTTTATTATTAATTTTCCATAAATGGCGCGGAGAGGTGTAACTCTTTCCGAAGCGCTAAAGGCTTCATGAATACTCTTATTCGAATCAGAGAATGAGATAGCAGCGATACTGAGATATATGCTCCTGAGCCATTTGTAATACGATTGTGGTAGCGGATGAAACTTATTTGTTTGATGAGAAGGTTGATGAATCCATCTTACTGGCCCCCTACGCAGCCTCAAAGTTTTTACTTGAATTTTAAACATATTGTTGCACGAACAGAGCGCACAAACAAGTTTTGTGTTCCAAACTGAAGTTGTTTGTGCTTCTCTCCCGGTGCGACTACTTGAACAATTTCACAAGCTAGAATCGAAAAATGTGTAAATTCTTTGTATAAGGCTGTGTATATACATATTTATCTATTTACAATTATTCAAGAAGTGGTATATCAATAAACATGTATACAGTGGTGTTTTTCAACTATAAAAACGCTCCTACTCAATTCCGTGCTTCACGGCAATGCTCGCTTAGTCGCACTTATAAAATCTCTGGCGGAGCAGTGTTCCACCTCATGGAACACCCACAGAATTAAAACGGTAAGTGCAATTTATACAAAAGTTTACCTTTATACTCCTTTAGGCCTAGATAGACTGCATGCGACGTTTTATTTATTTATTTATTTATTTATTTTGCTGAAATTCCGACTTTAAAGTATAGTGCACCACAAAGGGCTATAGCAATCGTATTTGATGATATATTAGTGAACTTAAAACTCTTTGAAAATAAACATGCTAATGTCTTCATTGCATGTTAAACATTATTTCGAAGATTACTGTTAAGAAAAGCAGAAGGCTGCGAGAAGTTATAAACAAGCGAGAATTTTTTGAAAAAGGATAGTGTTTAGAATTTCTATAGTAATATGTAAGTGTTTAACACTTTAGGATGATGTTGCGCTTTGTCGTTACTTTTTCT